TATATATATATATATAAACCATAAATATAAAGCATCTTGCAGCAGTGAACAAAAATTGACAAGACCTACTTGTTAAACAGTTTATTATTGCGTTTATTACAAGTTCTACTATGAAATTTGATCCCTGGCTTTTTATTCCTTAATAACCATTCGTGTCAATTATTTCTAAACTTTGTTAGATCTTATAAAACTATGTTTGTTTTTTTGTATAAGAAGATATTAATTAAAAAAAAATTCTAAACCATGTGAAAAACAAATTGTTTTATTCTTTTACGTAAGTGATACGACTGTTAGATTGTATCATTACATTTCCTGTTGCAATACTTGACTTTTTAACCTCTCCAGTCATCTCACTTGACACAGCTAAAAACCACAAAGATACATGTGTGAGTGTTGTGCTCAGCTGCAGTTTTATGCTGGGGCAATGTGATTATTTTAGACCTGCTGTTGGTCATTATCATCTCTTACTTTCATCTTGCCATAATTTATATCCTAATGAGAAGAGTTGTTAATCACAGCTGGTGTGTCATGTGTTGCATTTGAAAACAGCAAACTTAATTTACGTCAGCAACCACAACCAGAGTTTCCTGTTCCATACTAGCTCCCCTCACGTAGCACAGATGAACAGCACAGAAGGACATGTTCGCTGCTTGGCTGCAATACTTCATAAAGGACCAAAAAGAACGTCTTTTCTCATCATGAACACATCAAACAGCACCACAGAAGGTGAACAGGTTTACGCTGGGGTCTTTGGCTGCGTAATGGTGATAGGTCTGCCTCTCAATGCAGTAGCACTGTGGATTCTTCTTCGCCGCCACAGCCTCAAATCACCGAATGCTGTCTTCATGGTCAACCTGGCATTCTCAGACCTGCTACTCATCATCTCTTTGCCCATGAGGATCTACTTTCATGCCACAGGCACCTTGCATCTGGGCAATATGGCGTGCCTCATCATTACGATGCTTTTTCGTGACAACATCCGTTCCAGCGCTATGTTTATCACCTTCATCAGCGTGGACAGACTGCTGGCTGTGGTTTATCCTCTGAGGTCACGCCATTTAAGAACCTCGTCCAATGCCTGGAAAGGAGCAGCATTCGTCTGGAGTTTTATGCTGGTGGTGAATATCCCAGAGAGTTTGGACTTTCTAGAACATTTGCAGAACCACACTCAACGTACCTGTTTTAAATCTTATGACTCTTACAAGCTTTTATTGAGTAAAACTCGATTAGCAGTTATTTACCTTCAGATTGTGTTACTGGTCACAATGCTAACAGTCAACATTGTTTGCACCGTTATGGTGTCTTGGACTCTGCACAGACATCTCAGTGACTCTGCAAAGGTCAGCAACAAGATGAAAGTTATGCTGATCTTTGTCATGAACTTGGTTTTGTTTGCCATGTTCTTACCTGTGCCTATAGGAATGGCTGCACATGGCCAAGAAATCATGCCGCTGGTGTGTCTTACTGTTTCTAACTGCTGTCTGGATCCTCTGCTGTATTACTTTTCTTTTGACTCCTTCTGGAAGAAAAATGAGAACTGTAGATAAAAGACCTGCTATTGGTTTCACCAATAAACCAACATTAACATGTTTGTGAAGCTTTGCGTGTGAGACAGATGGTGAAAAGGCTAGTTGAAGTAGTGGTTTCGTGTTTTATTTAGACCTATGCTGCAGCATGACAGCGTCAACCACCAAAAGAATGGTTGCTGTACTAGAAACTGAAGCTTAAAAAAGACAGCTGCAAAGCTTTTTTTAGTTTACACATTCAAGAGGTTACTTGTTAAGAACTTCTTACGCAATGTCCTTTGTTAATTTTTTCACATTTAGTTTGACTATTTGGATCTATTCATGTGCAAAGTTTAGTGCGCTTCTGTTATTTTTCTCCTAAAGCCTTCTCCTGAATGATTTTTCTAAAAAAAAACAAACAAACAAAAACAAAAGTAACTGCTTGTCTTTCTCAAATAGTTGAAAAAGACAGTGTGAGAAAAGGGTTTTGATTGAGAGCCTATTTTACATTTTGCTCATTGTTCAGTTGAGGAAGCAGACTGTTTTCATCTGCTGGAGAGCTAAAGAAAAAAAAAACCTCATGGTTTGTCCTCCGGAAGTCACTGCTAGAGTACAAGATACAGTAGGGCACAGGTTATAAACCACCTTTTAACAGAAATGTTTCAACTTTTCATTGCAAGGCTTGTTCAATAAAACATTGTCTCCTATGCTGCCTTTAGCAGCTTGCAACATCTGCTCGCTGTGGTTTATTCTCTGAGGTCAACTTCAAACCTATTTCTGTGTCTGAAATGGAGCTGCACACGCCTGGCTGATCTTGCTGGTGGGGAAAATCACAGAGGGCGTGAGGTTTCGAAAGCAGTTAAGCAATTTTGAACTTTCTCAGGGCTCTAAGCATCATAAACAGATTCTTGCTGCAACATCAAAGTGTCATAATTTGGCTGTGGAGTGGGCATGGAGTGGACCCACGTGCAGGACATATTGCTGATGCTAACCTAAACTGATACTAACTCAGGGAAGTAAGAAATCGGGAACTTAGAAACTAAGGAACTACGAGGAAAATGGGGAACACACAAGGCAAATGACGCACAGCATTAAGGGACAACATGACAAAGAATTGAGGAGAATTTAGAGTGTAAATACACACGAGGTCACAAAGCAGAGTGGATTCACTTGGGGAACACAGCTTGGCAGAATCTAACTAGTGTGACAAGGGGAAGTAAAACTAAACATGACACACATGAGCCGGGGGACTGTCAAAACAGAACAGGAAACATAGTACTGAGACAGAGACAAAGACACAGACGAAAAGATAAACAGACACAGAGACACGACTTACTGGGGAGATAAGACTAACTTGACATAACTAAACAGTGAGACCAGAAAACAACAGAGAGAGATTATAGACAAAGAGACATAGGACACAACTGGGGAACAGACAGAGATCACAAACTAACAAAATTATAATAAACAAAAGCTAGAAAAGGCACAAAAACACTAAAGTTTGTGCCTGAGGCAAAAAAAAACAACCCTAACCCAAAACTAGACTAAAGACCTAAATATAGATCATTTCTTAAAAGCAAAACAAATCATTAACTCAAAAAAAACCCCCTCAAAACCGTGGATCCAGGACCTAAGGACCCTGACACAAAGTTTCAAACGCAAAAAAACAAACAATCCAGGCTGTTTTATTCAGTATTCATGCACTAATTAGTGCATTCACTAATAATTTAAAACATTTTAGGAAATAAGCTTACTTGAGACAAACATGATGTCTCAAGTTGAGACTTGAGGCGACTTTTGTTGTGATTTGGCGCTATATAAATAAAATTGAATTGAATTGAATTGAATCAAGTTCAACTTTTTATGGCAAATATAAATACAGAAGCAAAAAAATGTTACAAAAACTAGAATAGGAGAGACACCCATTTAGTATTAAATGTAAAAAAAAAATATACAAACATTTTTCATATGCAATATGAACTTGACTGTTAATCAGCTTATATCACCATAAATAACCATAGTAAAATTTCCATAATTGATAACCTATTGCAATAAGCCAGCCACAGACTGACCCACACAGGTGTGCACACGGGCATACGCTGTTCATAGACACAAACTACACCTATCTTGGCTGCTACCTCAAAGCACATTGTGGTCCTGCGTGCTGCACAACAACATTCAATATTTAGTATTTACTGTTATTCCCATATGGAAAAGAAATAGAAAAAACTTATAAAAGACTTGCATAAGATGTGGCCTACTTTATATAGTGAATCATATAAGGCTTGTATGATTTACTCATGAAAATGGCCACTTTCTCATTACTTTCATATATAGTTTTAGTAAGTATCCAAAACATACAAGTTGCATTTATATAATTGTTCAAGGGATCTTATATCTGTTTTCACTCTTGTATGCTTTTCATACAAGTTTCATGCAAGACAGATACAAACTTTATAAGATTTATATATATATATATTCCATATGGGTTTACACTTAGCTAGATTAATGCAATGGTGTTGCATTTATTATATTGCTCTCTTTTTTGCTTGTTTCCTCTTTTTCTCCTTTTTTCCTCTCTTAACAGGTGATCCAGGAGATTTTTGTCTTTTTAAGTGCCCTTTGTCACTGTCCCTCTTCCCCTCTGTTCCCCCCCCCACCCAAAAACAAACAAACAAACAAACAAACAAACAAACAAACAAACAAAAAAAACAAATGCTGAGTCTACAAGAGTTTCTCTGAACTGGTGTTCAGAAGTTAGTCTTCTACACAGTGCAAGATGTGACCTTTGTTGATGGGGTGTAAGAGGCTACTGGGATCCCTGGAGGCAGCCTGTTCATTAGTGATGTGTCAGTCGCGAACGGAGCTGGTTCTTTGAAGTGAACGACGACAGCCGTGTTTTTTTTTTCTTTCGCTCACTCTCTCTCTCTCTCTCTCGCACTTTTTCCCGCTTCACTTTGCACGCAAGCCTTGTGTTTTGCTCTGGGAAGAGGGGGGAGGGGCGGTAGTTACACTCAGTAGCACAGGAACAGAGCGGGAGGGAGAGACAGAGAAAGAGAGCCAGGAACAACAACGTCACATTAGAAAGGTATGGTAATATCCACAACTATTTTCAGTTGCAGATGATAAAGGATTCAGAAAGTTTATTCATGCAGGTCCATATGACAGAGAATATGCATCTTCTTTTTGTTTTCATATTTTAATTTATATTTAATTGTGTTGTGGTTTGCAGTGTTTTGTGTTGTTTCACTTTAAATTTGT